TTACTCCCATGCAAGATATCATAATAATGGCAGATCACTGCATATATTTATCGGTCCTTTGCATCATTGCCGATATTTGGGGATGAGCGTAGCGTCTATCACAATAATCAAGTACCCTTTCATCATTCTTTGAATAGTTTTGGTTGTTTGGTGTGTGTTCATTTCATAGTTACTGCTTTGATAATTCATTTCTTTTATTTGTTTATTGATTTTATGTGAACTTGTATCTTATGCATCAAGGAATAATTGACACTCTGCTCCTCAAATCTAAATAATGTACAAAAAAGAAAACAATCGAGGTGATAGTACTTTTGCAGTGGAATGATTTAACTGATCATTAAGTTTTTCAGCTGATAATTTCAAAATCTAGGCCTAAGCTGAACAACTCTCTTCATGAGAAATATGTGAACCACAGTAATGAGAATACATAAGATAAATTATATAAAGAATAAATTGCAAAATATAATGCACATATTCAACATTGCTAATTCCTCCCTTTTTTATGTTCTGTTTATGTATTTGTAAAGACCCATCTTGTTCTTCTTGGTGAGATACTTATTTGCCCTCACCTTCAAGTCTGTCCACTTTCGCTTTACATCCTCCCACCTCCTCTCCCTCCCCCCCACTGTAGCGTGTAAGAGCCGGGCGCACTGCTCCCATGTTTTTACGTTTGCGCTCTTCAACCTGCATCAGATAGAACAGTGATTATATCACAAAATTTCACTGCAGTGGGGAAAAAAAGAGTAAAATAAATATCATAAAAACCATTGGTCAAAACACAGAAAAAAGACGATAACCCAGGGCCCAAAACATGTTTTGATTGTCTATTGTTTAAAACCATGAGACATGACCATTATTATTTGTGTTTTTCTCAAGAGGTTGAAAAATTTCTTCAGATTGACCCCCCCCCCCCCCTTGGATAAGCGTTAAACCATAGACTATCAAACATTTCTTTGTTTTTCACCAGGTCTGAGTTGCGACCTTATAGCTATAGCAGTATGCCCCTATGGGAGTGAGGGTTTGTTGTCGTTACCGTTGTCGTTGAGGCTCGCCACAGGGCTAGAGTCAAGAACGAAACTTCTTTTGTTCCATTCTTTATCGATGCCGTGTGCGGTCACATTCATAAAGCCTTCCTGGCCCAAGCTTGTCCAGCAGTCGGTTGTTATGGCAATGTATTCACATCCGCTCATCCAGTGCTTAATTTTTAGCTTTTTTGTTCCCAAAAATTTAGATCAAGCATTCTCATCACAGTTTCCGGGTCGTACATATCCTCAACATTCTTGCAGATGGCCGAGATGTGAAAGGACCCAAATCTGGATCTCTCTGCATCAATTTTACGGCAAGTGACAGTGTCATTTATTTTCTCCTTGAGAAAATCCCCAAGCCTGTCGGCATCCAGCTCTGGATCAAATCTTGTGGTGAATACGTGTACAGGCTTTGTCTGTACAGCTTGAATCTGTCCTGTGCTGGCTTTTCCTACAATACCAGGCTTCCTCTTTGGAACTATTATATAACCAAATGTTCTAATTCTAACTAAATAATAGAAAATCTACTACAGCGGCTCACGTTTAATTTCACAAAACATAAACAAGGACCATTAAATCGTCATCCCTGTAACAACAGGATAATAACAACAATAATAAATCATATTTTCACAATACTTTCAACCTATTTATAATTCATTTTACTTAATGAAAATACAATAACTCTACATCAAAACATATCTTCACTCTTAACAATTCTTACACATGAGGATCTGTTGCTCCTTCAATTTTACATGTCCAGAATTTGTTCTTCTTAATTGAAACAAATATATCAAAGGTCTTGATAATCTAGATATCTCTTTGGTTACTTGGTGCCCTTTAACCTCATGTCAATATCCTGTCTTGATCTTCCAATGAACCACAGATCTTAGTAACTTACACATCAGGATCTGTTGCTTCCTCAATAAATCAAGTCCAGAATTTGTTCTTCTTGATGGTACGAGAGCCAGTGTGCTTTTGATCTTTCTGCCGTATCTTGGCTAAGATTTTCAGTTTGTCATCACGTGCTCGCTTTTGGATCTTACTCACACTATCAGCAAGAAGTTTTCTTTACTCTTTCTTTGCTCTTCTTCTGGTCTGTAGTTTGACACTGGTGTTGTAGTTGTACCATCAAAATTAGTTGTACTGCCAAGATTTTACATCTTCAGACAAATCAGACATTACAGCTGTGATAAGGCGGTTAGGAGTTGGGCAGTTCTTGATGATAAACTTGGGTGGTCGTATGATCATGATGATAAAAACCTACCCTGTCATTATCAAATAGAATGTTAACCTGTTCCCACAAAAAGGTTTCAGCCGGCATATAAGACGACCTGTCCAATCTTCTGCTCCCTCAATTATACATGCCCAGAATTTGTTCTCCTTAATTGAACAAATATATCATAGATATTGGCAATCTAGATATCTCTTTGGTTACTTGGGGGACCTTTAACCTCATGTCAATATCTTGTCTTGATCTTCCATGATTGCTGCAGAACTGTTAAACTGCAATTCCTGGCTGTGGGATGACTTAATGGGGGGGGGGGGCAAATTGATCCACGAGACTGAGTAGACCAGCCCTTGTGAACCTGTATTTCCTCCAGATCAATGGGTCTACTCTGTCTTGGAAGACTCTTTCCCTCCTACCCAATGATATATTGCAATGTATTATCTTCCACCTGGGCAACAAAAAAAAAGATAAAATAAATCGCCCAAAATGTCTTTCTGTGCATTTGAACCTGAAAATGGTGTTAATGTCTGTTTACCCATTTCTGGTCACCCATTTCTGGTCATGTGGCTTCTTGACGAAACGAACCTCCAGTATTGGTTTTTTCGGGCGCATGTGAACCTGAAAATGGTGTTAATGTCGGTTTACCCATTTCTGGTCATGTGGCTTCTTGACGAAACAAACCTCCAGTATTGGTTTTCTGGAGGGAGGCATGAGTCTGAAAAATGAAAAATATCTTTCGGCGCATGTGAACCTGAAAATGGTGTTAATGTCTGTTTACCCATTTCTGGTCAAGTGACTTCTTGACGAAACGAACCTCCAGTATTGGTTTTCTGGAGGGAGGCATGAGTCTGAAAAATGAAAAATATCTTTCGGCTTATGTGAACCTGAAAATGGTGTTAATGTCTGTTAACCCATTTCTGGTCATGTGGCTTCTTGACGAATCGAACCTCCAGTATTGGTTTTCTGGAGGGAGGCATGAGTCTGAAAAATGAAAAATGTCTTTCGGCGCATGTGAACCTGAAAATGGTGTTAATGTCTGTTTACCCATTTCTGGCCATGTGGCTTCTTGACGAAACGAACCTCCAGTATTGGTTCTCTGGAGGGAGGCATGAGTCTGAAAAATGAAAAATGTCTTTCGGCGCATGTGAACCTGAAAATGGTGTTAATGTCTGTTTACCCATTTCTGGTCATGAGGCTTCTTGACGAAACGAACCTCCAGTATTGGTTCTCTGGAGGGAGGCATGAGTCTGAAAAATGAAAAATGTTCATGGCTTGAGAGTGCATCATCTCCCTATAGAAAGCTCCATCCGTTATATCTGTTATGTCATCCTGGTCTAGATTCAGATTCCTGTTAAGAACAGCTTCCCCGACTTCAGTAGACTGGAGTAAATGCTGCAGTTGTTGGGTCAGAGGAAGAATGAGGTTATTCAAGATTATTATTCATAGATATAATAAACAAATTATAAACTTACGATGCTGGGTGCACTTCGGAGCTTGTCCTTGAATCTTGGCGTCCCGGCTGCACACTCGCCCCTTCATGGTGATGGTCGAACATTTGGTGGGGCGATGTAGATACAAGTTGACTAACCTGTATGACAACAACAATATCTGAATATCAGCTTGTCATTTATGGAATGACTGTCTATTACCAATATAGGCCCGACTTTATAGAAAGTCAGCGACTTAATTGAAGTCTTTGGATTCTTCTCAGTCGAGACCCCTTTTCGCTTTTGCCCGAACTTTGAGAGTTTCCCCAGAACTCCAGCCTCCGCCACAGCTTCCAACATATTTCCCATTGCTTGGCGCACTTCCTTCTCCCCAGCAGCCTTGCATTATGACCTTGCAGTATTGTTTCTATTGAACAAAGAAAGGGATAAAATGTGCAACTTTTTTCCATGTGAACTCTTTAACATTTAAGTTCAAGTTCAGTTTATTTCACATCCAATAAAAAACTTACACCATTATAACATTCAAAATACAATGATACAAAATGCAATATATATATATATATAAAAAATATAATAAGAACAAATACAACAAATCAACAGTTAAGTGTAAACATGCTGAATACCGTGACACACTCTGCACCAAAACACATTTGAATTTGCTAAATCAAATATCACTTCTGTAAATAACGATTCCTGGTCATCGGGACCAGTTTCGTATTTTATGAGTCATCGTTCATTTTACATGAGATATCTCCATTCCTGGATGTCACTCCCTTTACTCCAGGTGCATTCTTTGCTGCCATCAGCACAGCATACCGTAGGGGAGTGAGATCCTCATTAATTGAAGACGCCCTTGTAAGACGCCTTCCCTTTCAAAGTTGTATTACTTTACAAAAAATCACATATTTTATGTTGTGCTAGGAGGTACTCACCATTGGTATCTCTCTAATCTTAAGCTTTCCTAGGTAACTTTCTGAATTCTTCTCTTAGAGTTAAACCACGTTTAAAGATGTTTTTGTTCAAATTTCCCGCGAGAATGTATTGAATGAGCTATTTGAACGTTGAGGGTGCTATTTCTTTTTTATTCAGCTCAGCTAGCTAGCTCATAGGCTCTGGTTACCCGTGACGTACATGTTTCGTTGTAAACCTCATCCCTCTTCCTGCGGGCGATAAATCTCACCAAGCATTGACGAGGGTTACCTGGTGTTTGATGCCCAGGTCACTTTCCTTGACGGTGACATGATGATAGGTCATCCGGTTTCAGCGCTACCCTAACCTCTCCAGCCAGTTTATATCTTGTCAGTAAGCTGACTCCTCCTCTTCTCCCTGTGGCTCTGACAGACCACTTACTCCCAGGTTGTCCATGCGCAGCCTCTGGTCCATTTCTTCTAGCTTGAATTGTTTGCTGATGAGCACATGTGGATTAATTTTATCCTTTACTGCCTGTACTATTGCAGGAATCGGTGTCTTGTCTGCCTCCTAGACAGCAATGGTATCAAACTGTTTAATGAACTCTCAAAGTCAATCCGCTTAGCAAGTGACTTAAAATATTTTCACCAGATTGATTTCTCAATTATACACCCACCCTTTCTAGTTATATACATGTATTTGTTTTATCACAATCATGGTTTTAGAAGGAGATGAAGTGAACTATTTCCCCCAAGGAAATCATCATTTTGTATCACAGAATCACTTCGCTTAAACTTTTGTGAGTTACCCGAACGTGCGTGCGATCATGGCGGCGGGGAGACTGGGTGAACTATGGATGAAGTTTTGGGTGCCGCCTCGCCCAGCTTTGAAGGTCGACAAGAAAACTCTGGAAAGAACATGGAAACTCATGGAGAAAGTCATGAGATTATGCCAGTCCGACAAAATGAAACTGAAGAACAGCCCTCCATTCATTCTGGATATTCCACCGGAGACGTATCATCATCTCAGACTAGTTCGGTCTAAATATGAAGGAGATGACAAATTGCCCGACCTTGTCGAAAATGAGTACTTCAAAATCTTTGTTGACAACATCAACAAAAAGGCTAAACAGACAATACAACTGTTCAAAGACAATAAGGAGAAAATGTACGATGAGAGTTCTACATGTAGAAGGCAACTTAACCGAATGTCTCTGATTTTTAGTCACAATTTAGCCGAGTTGAAGGCTCTCTTCCCAAATGGACTTTTTGCCGGTCAATCCTACCGCATCACGAAGGCAGATGCTGCTCAGTTTTGGAAGAAAAATTTTCTTTCTTTTTTTCTCTTTGGACGCAATGATCTGCGATGAACATCTTGAGCCTTGTAACTTCTGCTCCAAGGGCTGCATTGTCCACCTCCCTCTGCTCTAAAGTCACCTTGAGCTTATCCACCTCGTTCTGCAGTTTGTTAATTTGCAGGCGATGGCTTTCCAACTCGAGGAAGGACGTTTTCTGTTCATCATATACTGTGAATTTGGTATGTGAAAATGAATTAGGCTTGTATGGTATGGCATGGTTTTATTATGCCTCCGCCACCGAAGGTGGTGCCGGAGGCATCATGTTTTCGGGTTGTCCGTCCGTACGTCCGTCCGTCCGTCCAGTTTGACCGTTATCACAATATCTCAAGAACCATTTAAGATTTAAACTTAAGACTCGGGAATAGTATTTATCACCATAGGAAGACGATCTGATTAGATTTTGGAGTACGTAGGTCAAAGGTCACAGGTCACAGAGGTCAACTTATGAAATTCCTTGTATTGAGTTTGTTAGCGCGATATCTCAAGAACCATTTGAGATTTAAACTTAAAACTTAAGGATAGTATGTATCACCATAGGAAGACGATCTGATTAGATTTTGGAGCACGTATGTCAAAGGTCAAGGGTCACAGAGGTCAACTTATGAAATTCCATACATTGAGATTGTTATCATGATATCTCAAGAACCACTGGAGATTTAAACTTCAAACTTAGTGATAGTGTGTATCACTATAGGAAAACAATCTGATTACATTTTGGAGCACGTAGGTCAAAGGTCAAGGGTCATAGAGGTCAACTTATGAAATTCCATACATTGAGATTGTTATCATGATATCTCAAGAACCACTGGAGATGTAAAAACTTCAAACTTAAGGATAGTATGTATCACCATAGGAAGACGATCTGATTAGATTTTGGAGCACGTAGGTCAAAGGTCAAGGGTCACAGAGGTCAACTTATGAAATTCCATACAATGAGATTGTTATCATAATATCTCAAGAACCACTGGAGATTTAAACTTCAAACTTAATGATAGTGTGTATCACCATAGGAAGACAATCTGATTAGATTTTGGAGCACGTAGGTCAAAGGTCAAAGGCCACAGCGCACATTATGAATGCAAAAACAGCTTGTGATCGCGTTATCTCAAGAACCGATTGATGGATTAATGCCAACAAAACAGTCCCTCTAACCTGTCCAAGGCCAAGGCATTGATAAAGAAGCCTCAGCTGAAGGGACGCGACGTCAGGAGGGCGGGGAACAGGATGAATCGCGCTCAGAAGAGGAACGACAGCTACATGGCCAACAGAGGGATCGCAGGCTGCTAAAAATATTGTATTTATTCCTTTCCTCTTAAAAATTACAATCATAAATAATGAACTAAGACAAATTGCTGGTTTTTAGGAACCTGAAATGCTCACATAGGCTTAGGCACAGGAGATACATCAGCCATGAATTATATTAATGCCTTTATCTTGAAGGGCATGATATCTTCCAAAAGGGAATAGTGTTAAAAAATTACTCCTATATCTTATTATTGAGTTTTGCATGGTGTCTCAAGGAAGTATGTCAAGAATGTAGAAAAGTAGAACAACCAAGATTGTCTATTACATTTTTCAATGTTTTGGGGTTTTTTCCCAGTGTTTTAACAAGTACTGTTCTTTTTACAGCAGCTGAATGATGGGATTTTTAAACCATTCTTGCTTTATTTTAGCATCTTTAGTGTTTATACCATATCCGTCTCGTCTTATGTGCCTGGTGGTCTATACCAATTTCTAATGAACCAGTTTTAAAACCATATTTAATTTCAACACCATTTATGCCAAATATTTGATATAATTATTCAAATTTTAAGATGCAGTTAATGATGTAAATTTCCTCCAACTGCCCAAACCTTGCTTTAAAATTGATCTCTGTCTCTGATGTATGGAGTGATTTTTTTTTTTTTTTTTTTTAAACTGTTCCTTTTATTTTCATTCAAAGCATTTTAAATTTGTTCAGCTATTTCTAAGGTATGCACTTACTAGAAACTTTCCAGATACATGTATATAAAAAGTTTCATCCTACAAAGTACAACGTCATTGAATCACACCCCTGGCCTTTCTGCTATGCATGAATTTCTTCACCTGGAACTGGAAATTGGCACTTATTATCCATTCATGAATGCTACAGGTCTCATAAGTTTCAGGTTTAGATGTAGTATCTGTACGTACAGTACTTAATATCCTTTGGCAAGATATTAACCTGCACTTGCTACTCTCCACCCAGGTGTTAAATGGGTACCCGGTAGGATGCGACCGTCATTGTTGGTCAAACAGTTTTTGAGCGTCATGTAACGCCTGGCTGGAATGCTCCCCAGGGAGTGGAGATTGTGCACACATTGTGTGCGGGTAAGCACTGAATCCAATGACCGGGGTAATAATATATTTGTAAAGCGCTTAGAGACATTTGTATTTAGCGCTATATAAATTAAATTTATTATTATTATATTATTAAAATTAGGTCATGTTTGTTACTTGCAGAGCCAATGAACTGAGTAGATTCTTGGTTCATAAGGTCAAAGGTCATGGGCCCATTATGTATGCAAAAATAGCTTGTGAACGCATTCTCATTAGAACTGACAGATGGATTACTATTTAACTCAGAACATCTTGCAGAGCCAATGAACTGAGTAGATTTTATGGTCATGAGGTCAAAGATCAAAGGGTCATATATGTATATGAGAAATTGCTTGTAATCACAATATTCTGAGAACCTGTCAATGGATTACCATTGAACGTGAATTCAATTTTTTTTTTCTGTTTTGGTTTGTAAAATTGCTCTATAACGGAGGCATCATTTTCGACTGCGCGCAGTCGAATTCCATCTAGTTTTCCATATAAAAATCACACAATACATATAAATTGAAAATGAGAATATAACGTAAAACAGGTACTTAAATAATATGGAAGGAATACTCTATTCAGAACCATTAACCCTATTTTGACTGGGCATTTTGAGAGGAGATTCTGACTGGGGGGGGGGGGGTTAATTTGACCCCCCCCCCCCCAAGATCTCGGCCACGGAAGGTGTGATCGACGTGAAATTTTGCGTCGCTTCTTTTGTTCCTCTTTCTCTACTCTTTTCATTTCTCTTTCTTCTTCTCTTCTTGTCCTTTTCTCTTCAGCTTCCCTCTTTTGTTCCTCTTTCTCTACCCTTTTCATTTCCTTTTCTTCTTCTCTTCTTCTCTTTTTCTCTTCAGCTTCCCTCTTTTGTCCCTCTATTTCTACTCTTTTAATTTCCCTCTCTTCTTCTCTTCTTCTCTTTTTCTCTTCCCTTTCTCTCTTTTGTGCCTCTTGTAGGGCTTCTCTCTCTACCTCTTCCTTTCTCTTTTCTTCAACTTTTCTTCGTTTTATTGCCGTTTCTTCCTTTTCAATTTCTTTTTTCTTCTCCATTTCACCGATGAATAGCACTCCGCTAACAACAGATGGATATACCTTTCTCTTTTTTCCATTTCTGGTAACATCTACCTTCTGGATTTGAGTTGACTTTTTGAGGGCAGGTGAAACAAAATCTTCGTCATGTGGACGCTCGGTGAGATGGATTATTATTTCACCTGCATCTCTAGGATTGTCCCTATCATCGAGATTAGATGAAGGGGTCCCTTGCCTACTAGAACTTGAACTAGGATTGTCCCTATCATCGAGATTAGATGCTGGGGTCCCTTGGCCACTAGAACTTGAACTAGGATTGTCCCTATCATCGAGATTAGATGCTGGGGTCCCTTGGCCTCTAGAACTTGAACTAGGATTGTCCCTATCATCGAGATGAGATGCTGGGGTCCCTGAGTCACTAAAACTTGTACTAGGATCGTCCCTTGTAGTACTATAACTGGCCAGGTTATACAAAGTGGATGGCAACAGATGGGCGGTCTTGTACTCCTTCGTAAAGGGGTACAGGCCAGCAGCCTTGAAACCATTGACCCCTAGCGATGGTTTCGCAGCTACTTTTTCCCAAGCCTCTCTAAATACCGAGGCAAAGAGGCGTTTTGTCAAAAAGTTGCCCGGATGGTCAATGCGATACTGCCTCTCAGCCTTGTACCACTCCGCCTTCAGTGACCTGAAAACGGAGACGTCACAAGGCTGAAGGAGATGCGTAGCATGAGGCGGCAAACGATATAGGATGATTCCATTTTCATGGCAAAATCTTGCTACCTCCAGACTTTGGTGCGTTGAGTGCCCATCAACAAGCAGGAGCACCGGCAGGGGAATCTTGTTTCGAACCAAAAACGGATGGAACAAATTAGTCACGAAGCCAAGAAATGTCTTCGAGTCCATCCATCCGCTTTCGGTTCTTCCAAAGAATGCCCCCTTCGGTGCTCCCACCATGTGGCCGTAATGGTACTCTGCCCTTATGCCAGGCAACACTATGAGGGGAGGAGGGAAGGTTCCTGTCGCGCTCACAGTAGCCAGAACTGTGACCTGGCTCTTATCAGATGACTTAACGACATGTACTACCTTACTTCCCTTCTCTGCCAGGACTCGCTTTCCCGCTTTCCCCCCCCCCCCCAATGCAAAGCCGCTCTCGTCGCAGTTGAACATCCTGTTCGGTTCGGTGAGGATGCTCATGGCGTTCACTTCCTTAAGATACGATTCAAATTCATCGAACCATTTATTGATTGTGCCCACTGTGACAATGGCCCTCTCCTTGCCGATTGCCTGCGGCGTCCTCAGGCTTAGTCGTGGGTTCCTCTTTAGGAATCCTGAAAACCATGTGTCTCCTGAAGAAAAAGTGTCCGGGTTTCTATAATAGAGCGCCAGCTTACGAGCAATTGACGGAAAAGCTGACGTAATTCACCCATAAACGTCATTCGGAGCCCAGCAGTGAAGCAGAGAACATCTCCCGTGTCGTCTCTCCGATAATGCCTTAAAATTACGGCAATGATTAGTAATTCGGGAAAAAAAGACAATTTTGAAACGAAAATAAAGTTTACTCACCACCGTTACTGCATGCTCAAGCAGAAAAAACAGGTCAGTAGTTGAAATTCAGATGTAAAATTTCGGCCATCAGTGTAAAATTCTACACGGGAATCGCTCTCACTCGTGCACAGAGCACCCCATTCCATTTTTGCGCGCATTGCGTGCGTATAATGGCCTAACGCGCTTGTTCCATATCGAAAAGAATTGTGACGTCATAATCAGACCGCTGTCCGAGTACTGGCAGGTATACGGTATCATCATCTCAGACTAGTTTGGTCTAAATATGAAGGAGATGACAAATTGCCCGACCTTGTCGAAAATGAGTACTTCAAAATCTTTGTTGACAACATCAACAAAAAGGCTAAACAGACAATACAACTGTTCAAAGACAATAAGGAGAAAATGTACGATGAGAGTTCTACATGTAGAAGGTAACTTAACCGAATGTCTCTGATTTTTAGTCACAATTTAGCCGAGTTGAAGGCTCTCTTCCCAAATGGACTTTTTGCCGGTGAATCCTACCGCATCACGAAGGCAGATGCTGATCAATTTTGGAAGAAAAATTTTGGTTCAAGGTATTCGTGATTTATCATTTTATTGATATCATTACATTCGTATGCATTTGAAATATGTTTTCATGAAAAATGTCTTTCGGCGCATGTGAACCTGAAAATGGTGTTAATTCTGTTTATCTATTTCTGGTCATGTGGCTTCTTGACGAATCGAACCTCCAGTATTGGTTCTCTGGAGGGAGGCATGAGTCTGAAAAATGAAAAATGTCTTTCGGCGCATGTGAATCTGAAAATGGTGTTAATGTCTGTGTACCCATTTCTGGTCATGTGGCTTCTTGACGAATCGAACCTCCAGTATTGGTTCTCTGGAGGGAGGCATGAGTCTGAAAAATGAAAAATGTCTTTCGGCGCATGTGAACCTGAAAATGGTGTTAATGTCTGGTTACCCATTTCTGGTCATGTGGCTTCTTGACGAAACGAACCTCCAGTATTGGTTTTTTCGGGCGCATGTGAACCTGAAAATGGTGTTAATGTCGGTTTACCCATTTCTGGTCATGTGGCTTCTTGACGAAACAAACCTCCAGTATTGGTTGTCTGGAGGGAGGCATGAGTCTGAAAAATGTCCAAAATATCTTTCGGTGCATGTAAACCTGAAAATGGTGTTAATGTCTGTTTACCCATTTCTGGTCAAGTGACTTCTTGACGAAACGAACCTCCAGTATTGGTTTTCTGGAGGGAGGCATGAGTCTGAAAAAATGAAAAATGCCCTTCGGCGCATGTGAACCTGAAAATGGTGTTAATGTCTGATTACCCATTTCTGGTCATGAGGCTTCTTGACGAATCGAACCTCCAGTATTGGTTCTCTGGAGGGAGGCATGAGTCTGAAAAATAAAAAATGGCTTTCGGTGCATGTGAACCTGAAAATGGTGTTAATGTCTGATTACCCATTTCTGGTCATATGGCTTCTTGACGAATCGAACCTCCAGTATTGGTTTTCTGGAGGGAGGCATGAGTCTGAAAAATGAAAACTTTCTTTCGGCGCATGTGAACCTGAAAATGGGGTTAATGTCGGTTTACCCATTTCTGGTCATGCGGCTTCTTGACGAATCGAACCTCCAGTATTGGTTTTCTGGAGGGAGGCATGAGTCTGAAAAATGAAAAATGTTCATGGCTTGAGAGTACATTGATATCTCCCTATAGAAAGCTCCATCCGTTATATCTGTTATGTCATCCTGGTCTAGATTCAGATTCCTGTTAAGAACAACTTCCCCGACTTCAGTAGACTGGAGTTAATGCTGCAGTTGTTGGTTCAGAGGAAGAACAATAATATATTACATTTATATAGCGCTTTATACAAAGTTTCTAAGCGATTAACAAAAATAAAACTAAAGTAATGTTAACCTACAAATTACAACACTATATATAATACATGATACACAATTATAATAACAGATTCCTAATAACAATCATACAATAATAATAGTTATATACCTCACTTAAGAAATCCAGCCATCTGATTGGTCGAATTGCATTCATAAACTTCAACTGTTCCTGTAAAATTCTCGGTAACCATGCATAAAACATTTCAATATTTTTAATAACCATGGTTATTAAAAAAAGTTGGTCAGCCTCCATGGTTACCCCATAGGTTTACATGTTAAAAAATGGTTTGAGCGATGGAGGATGCCGTATGTGTGCGAAGGATTGGTCGGTAATTTCAATACAATTGAATCTCGATCGATCTTACCGACAATTTTATCTTGCATTGTTGACATGAAGACGAAAATAAACTTCCAAAAACAAAAAAAACAACATCTGCCGATAGATCTTGATCTAAGTTCGTGCCAATATGCATTGCAAAAGTAAAAGAAGAGTCCGTATATGGAGATTTTGCGAAGCATTCATCACACGCGAAGCCGGTTTCAATCCATTTTAATGTATATATTAGAGAAAACTGCCAAGCATGTTAACGGCGGGCCATAGCCGAGTGGTCTAAGCGTTGGTTTTCGGTACACCTCTTGTTGTACGCAAGAGTTCGAATCCCGTCTTCGACATAAATGATAAATATTTTTAATTTTTCATTTTTTAGTCCATTTTTTTTCGGCATATAAAAGTATTAATGACTGCTTTAATATTCGAGAAATAGTTGTTTTCATACGCTCTCGGGAAGGTTACAATTGGGCTATTCCCCTCGGCAAGCCTCTGGGAATAGCACAATTCTAACCTTCCCTTGAGCGTAATAAAACAACTATTTCTCTCAAAGCAGTCATTAATACTATATTAATATTTACAAAACGCTTTATAGTTTAACAAACAAAATATGATTACATTACATATTAAAGGTAATACAAAGTTTTGGGAAATTTTGAAAATTGGGTGGATAGTGATTCATACAATTTTGATTTATTTGGATGCCCCTGTGGATGTATTAAAAGCACTAAAAAAATTAGCCCCTAAAACACTTCTGCCTTTGAGAAAATTTGAATATAAAAATTTACCGGTGCTCCCGGTAAATTTTGATGAATTTCAAATAGCGCCTGCGGCCGTACAATGGTAGCTGCGACCATGAAAATCTCAGAACATGTAGTTGTGATATATAATTTCCAAACGGGAATAGCTAATCGGTCGATTTTAGTCGAGAAACATCGTTTTATAGCTTAATTCATATCTTGACCCCTAGAGGGAGCTATACAACATAAAGAGTTATTATTTACAATTTCATAACTTTAGACTCGATTTCAACCGTGACAACGATCAATGAATATTGTCGGATCGCATATGCTTCCAATATGTTCATTTGAACCAAATTCATGACCCCAAACCAAAACTTTGTATTACCTTTAAACAGATAAGTCCTAAGTTTACTCTTGAATGTTTCTAACGTTGGGGACTCGCGTATTTCATGTCATTGTAGATCAGGAACTGGGACATTTTCATGCTCTCACTTCTTTCAAAATATACCACACCGGTTACATACATCTATACTATCATGACATCCGATTTCATCTTTGCATTGGCAATAAAAATGGAACTAAAACAGTCCTTTATAATCCAACAACGCATTTCCAAACAGATACTTGGACGATGAAGATTGATTAGTTCTATCAGATCTTGAGGCGCTACTCCAGACAAATGGTGCTTCACCACAAAAACTCAAGACAGCTAGAAGTGAATCCATCCATCGTCCAGTTCACTCATGGGGTCAGGAGATATCTGGTCATTGTAGACCAGGAACTCTCTATATGTCTTTGTACACCAGGAACTCTCTATATGTCTTTGAAGACAAGGAACTCTCTACATGTCTTTGAAGACCAGGAACTCTCTACATGTATATGTCTTTGGAGACCAGGAACTCTCTATACGTCTTTGTAGACCAGGAACTCTCTATATGTCTTTGCCCTCGATCTCATCCTCTCTACTCCTCGATTTCTGATTTAAGGATATTACTATGAAAAGATCTTTTTTCATTACATGTAACTTCCAGAGTTTCACCCAATCTATTCTTCTCGTGAATAATCGCGGATCAGGTTTTTCAATTCCACAAGTGGAAATAGATATAATAAACAAATTATAAACTTATGATGTTGGGTACACTTTGGAGCGACGCCATCAAATCTCGAATCTCTGCTGCATCTTATTCCTCTGCGAGTAATGGTGGAACATTGGGGTAATCTGCAAAGTGCTCGACAAACTGTTTTAAACAACTGTCAGCAAGTACCAAGTCTTCAATGTATCATGCGGATAAGGTCTTTCAATTCCACAAGTGGAAATAGATATAATAAACAAATTATCAACTTACGATGCTGGGTGCACTTCGGAGCTTGTCCTTGAATCTTGGCGTCCCGTCTGCATCTCAGCCCCTTCCTGGTGATAGACGAACATTGGGGAATCCGGTTCAGGTATAGATTAACCAGCCTGTATGAGAATAACGATATCTGAAGATCAGCTTGTCATTTATGGAATGACTGTCTATTATCAATATAGGCCCGACTTTATAGAAAGTCAGTGACTTAATTGAAGTCTTCGGATTCTCCTCAGTCGACCCCCCTTTTCGCTTTTGCCCGAACATTGAGAGTTTCCCCAGAACTCCAGCCTCCGCCACAGCTTCCAACATATTTCTCATCGCTGGGCGCACCTCTTTCTCTCCAGCTGCCTTGATTATCAGGTATTAGAAAGTGATAAAATGTGCAACTTTTTTCCATGTGAACTCTTTAACATTCAAGTTCAAGTTCAGTTTATTTCACATCCAATAAAAAACGTACACCATTATAGCATTCAAAATACAATTATACTAAATGCAATATATATATAAAATATAATAAGAACAAATACAACAAATCAACAGTTAAGTGTAAACATGCTGAATACCCTGACACAATCTGCAACAAAACACATTTTAATTTGCTAAATCAAATATCACTTCTGTAAATAACGATTCCTGGTCATCGGGACCAGTTTCATATTTTTATGAGTCATCGTTCATTTTGCATGAGATATTTCCATTCGTGGATGTCACTCCCTTTACTCCAGGTGAATTCTTTGCTGCCATCAGTACAGCATACCGTAGGGGAGTGAGATCTTCATTAACGAAGACGCCCTTGTAAGACGCCTTCCCTTTCAAAGTTGTATTACTTTACAAAAAATCACATATTTTATGTTGTGCTAGGAGGTACTCACCATTGGTATCTCTCTAATCTTAAGCTTTCCTAGGTAACTTTCTGAATTCTTCTCTAAGAGTTAAACCACGTTTAAAGATGTTTTTGTTCAAATTTCCCGCGAGAATGTATTGAATGAGCTATTTGAACGTTGAGGGTGCTATTTCTTTTTTATTCAGCTCAGCTAGCTAGCTCATAGGCTCTGGTTACCCGTGACGTACATGTTTCGTTGTAAACCTCATCCCTCTTCCTGCGGGCGATAAATTTCACCATGCATTGACGAGGGTTAGCTGGTGTTTGATGCCCAGGTCACTTTCCTTGACGGTGACATGATGATAGGTCATCCGGTTTCAGCGCTACCCTAACCTCTCCAGCCAGTTTATATCTTGTCAGTAAGCTGACTCCTCCTCTTCTCCCTGTGGCTCTGACAGACCACTTACTCCCAGGTTGTCCATGCGCAGCCTCTGGTCCATTTCGTCTAGCTTGAATTGTTTGCTGATGAGCACATGTGGATTAATTTTATCCTTTACCGCCTGTACTATTGCAGGAATCGGTGTCTTGTCTGCCTCCTAGACAGCAATGGTATCAAACTGTTTAATGAACTCTCAAAGTCAATCCGCTTAGCAAGTGACAACATCAACAAAAAGGCTAAACAGACAATACAACTGTTCAAAGACAATAAGGAGAAAATGTACGATGAGAGTTCTACATGTAGAAGGCAACTTAACCGAATGTCTCTGATTTTTAGTCACAATTTAGCCGAGTTGAAGGCTCTCTTCCCAAATGGACTTTTTGCCGGTGAATCCTACCGCATCACGAAGGCAGATGCTGCTCAATTTTGGAAGAAAAATTTTCTTCTTTTTTTTCTCTTTGGACGCAATGATCTGCGATGAACATCTTGAGCCTTGTAACTTCTGCTCCAAGGGCTGCATTGTCCACCTCCCTCTGCTCTAAAGTCACCTTGAGCTTATCCACCTCGTTCTGCAGTTTGTTAATTTGCAGGCGATGGCTTTCCAACTCGAGGAAGGACGTTATCTGTTCATCATATACTGTGAATTTGGTATGTGAAAATGAATTAGGCTTGTATGGTATGGCATGGTTTTATTTTCCATATAAAAATCAAACAATACATATAAATTGAAAATGAGAATATAACGTAAAACAGGTACTTAAATAATATGGAAGGAATACTCTATTCAGAACCATCAACCCTATTCTGACTGGGCATTTTGAGAGGAGATTCTGACTGGGGGGGGGGGGTTAATTTGACCCCCCCCCCCCAAGATCTCGGCCACGGAAGGTGTGATCGACGTGAAATTTTGCGTCGCTTCTTTTGTTCCTCTTTCTCTTTTTTTCATTTCTCTTTCTTCTTCTCTTCTTGTCCTTTTCTCTTCAGCTTCCCTCTTTTGTTCCTCTTTCTCTACCCTTTTCATTTCCTTTTCTTCTTCTCTTCTTCTCTTTTTCTCTTCAGCTTCCCTCTTTTGTCCCTCTATTTCTACTCTTTTAATTTCCCTCTCTTCTTCTCTTCTTCTCTTTTTCTCTTCCCTTTCTCTCTTTTGTGCCTCTTGTAGGGCTTCTCTCTCTACCTCTTCCTTTCTCTTTTCTTCAACTTTTCTTCGTTTTATTGCCGTTTCTTCCTTTTCAATTTCTTTTTTCTTCTCCATTTCACCGATGAATAGCACTCCGCTAACAACAGATGGATATACCTTTCTCTTTTTTCCATTTCTGGTAACATCTACCTTCTGGATTTGAGTTGACTTTTTGAGGGCAGGTGAAACAAAATCTTCGTCATGTGGACGCTCGGTGAGATGGATTATTATTTCACCTGCATCACTAGGATTGTCCCTATCATCGAGATTAGATGCTGGGGTCCCTTGGCCTCTAGAACTTGAACTAGGATTGTCCCTATCATCGAGATTAGATGCTGGGGTCCTTTGGCCTCTAGAACTTGAACTAGGATTGTCCCTATCATCGAGATTAGATGCTGGGGTCCCTTGGCCACTAGAACTTGAACTAGGATTGTCCCTATCATCGAGATTAGATGCTGGGGTCCCTTGGCCACTAGAACTTGAACTAGGATTGTCCCTATCATCGAGATTAGATGCTGGGGTCCCTTGGCCTCTAGAACTTGAACTAGGATTGTCCCTATCATCGAGATTAGATGAAGGGGTCCCTTGCCTACTAGAACTTGAACTAGGATTGTCCCTATCATCGAGATTAGATGCTGGGGTCCCTTGGCCTCTAGAACTTGAACTAGGATTGTCCCTATCATCGAGATTAGATGCTGGGGTCCCTTGGCCACTAGAACTTGAACTAGGATTGTCCCTATCATCGAGATTAGATGCTGGGGTCCCTTGGCCTCTAGAACTTGAACTAGGATTGTCCCTATCATCGAGATTAGATGCTGGGGTCCCTTGGCCACTAGAACTTGAACTAGGATTGTCCCTATCATCGAGATTAGATGCTGGGGTCCCTTGGCCACTAGAACTTGAACTAGGATTGTCCCTATCATCGAGATTAGATGAAGGGGTCCCTTGCCTACTAGAACTTGAACTAGGATTGTCCCTATCATCGAGGTTAGATGCTGGGGTCCCTTGGCCACTAGAACTTGAACTAGGATTGTCCCTATCATCGAAATTAGATGCTGGGGTCCCTTGGCCTCTAGAACTTGAACTAGGATTGTCCCTATCATCGAGATGAGATGCTGGGGTCCCTGAGTCACTAAAACTTGTACTAGGATCGTCCCTTGTAGTACTATAACTGGCCAGGTTATACAAAGTGGATGGCAACAGATGGGCGGTCTTGTACTCCTTCGTAAAGGGGTACAGGCCAACAGCCTTGAAACCATTGACCCCTAGCGATGGTTTCGCAGCTACTTTTTCCCAAGCCTCTCTAAATACCGAGGCAAAGAGGCGTTTTGTCACAAAGTTGCCCGGATGGTCAATGCGATACTGCCTCTCAGCCTTGTACCACTCCGCTTTCAGTGACCTGAAAACGGAGACGTCACAAGGCTGAAGGAGATGCGTAGCATGAGGCGGCAAACGATATAGGATGATTCCATTTTCATGGCAAAATCTTGCTACCTCCAGACTTTAGTGCGTTGAGTGCCCATCAACAAGCAGGAGCACCGGCAGGGGAATCTTGTTTCGAACCAAAAACGGATGGAACAAATTAGTCACGAAGCCAAGAAATGTCTTCGAGTCCATCCATCCGCTTTCGGTTCTTCCAAAGAATGCCCCCTTCGGTGCTCCCACCATGTGGCCGTAATGGTACTCTGCCCTTATGCCAGGCAACACTATGAGGGGAGGAGGGAAGGTTCCTGTCGCGCTCACAGTAGCCAGAACCGTGACCTGGCTCTTATCAGATGACTTAACGACATGTACTACCTTACTTCCCTTCTCTGCCAGGACTCGCTTTCCCGCTTTCCCCCCCAATGCAAAGCCGCTCTCGTCGCAGTTGAACATCCTGTTCGGTTCGGTGAGGATGCTCGTGGCGTTCACTTCCTTAAGATACGATTCAAATTCATCGAACCATATATTGATTGTGCCCGCTGTGACAATGGCCCTCTCCTTGCCGATTGCCTGCGGCGTCCTCAGGCTTAGTCGTGGGTTCCTCTTTAGGAATCCTGAAAACCATGTGTCTCCTGAAGAAAAAAAAATTGAAAAGAAATACTCACACTCAAGTGTGTGAACGCTCTGAGCTTTATGGGAATTGCGAATGACATGTTCGCTCACTTTTGTTTAGAGCGCCCGTACGTAGCTCACCTTGCCTCTTGGACGGGAGGTCGTGGGTTTGATCGATTCCACTCCAAGTCATACCAAAGACTTTAAAAAATTGTACCTGTAGCTGCCTTCTAGCAAAGCGTTTGGGGGTAATAACAGGATGTTATGTTAAGCAGGGCCCGCTTATAGAACTAAAATTGCTACCCTGGGTAAATGAAACAATATTATTATTATCATTATTATTAGTTTTATTATTATTATTATTATTGATTTTATTGTATTGGATTACAAAAAGAAAATCTGAAAACAGAATGTGCAAAACAAGGCATATCTGTGCATTGGGTAAAAAGGAATTTGGTTCAACATAACCGTTTCTACCGAACACAATACAGGATAGTAATAATTTTTTCGAAAAGAAAAAAGGAGTAATATCGGCGGTTTGAAATTTGTAAGTTGGAGATTATCACAAATGATGTAAATATTAAAGTATTACCCACCTGGTTTGTTGTTTGGAAATGGATTTGGTCGTCCATCTTTGTCGAGAGTTTGTTTCACAACCTGTAATATCATAGTGAAATATTTCATGTCATCACGAAAAAACCCGGAGGGTTGGACCTGATAAGGGGCCCAAAAGAAACACTAAAAAAATAATACTTCAAAACGATATCAAAAGGTAAATCAGCCTGGTATCATGTATTACCCGCTTTCTTTACTTCAATAGGTTGAGGTGCACATCCATCTTATAAATAGGCGTATATGCCGCCACTTACCCCCCCCCCCCCCACCCACACATACTTCATTCGCTTCTGCTGCAGTGAGTATATTATAATGGAGATGTATACTGATCTGCAGATATCCATAACTTATTCATCATAGCCCTTTAAGATTGAAATATTCCTAAAATTAAATCATAATGTTTTTCCCAACATGGAAGTCCAACAAAGAAACTTCAGAGAAACTTGTTATGAAAAAGAAAAGGAAACATTTAAAGGGAAAGCTACATGTATATATTGCTATTAAATGTATTTCAATTGTCAATAATAACAAAAATAATTTATATGAAAATTTACGTTTTTGATGTCGTCCTTTGTTTGGCCCATTCCTATCCTGGCCATCTGGATTGCCCACGTGCAAATTACCTCCTCTTCTGCCCTCGTCAAGTATGGCTTAGGGCCCTGCTTACTGACGAAGGGGGACTTGTGACTGAGTTTGTCATGGAGGGTAGACTTGGGAACCCCATACGCGGTAGCAGCTTCTCGTATGGAGAGCTCACCAAGGTCCACTCTCCTCAGGGCATTGTTGACGTCTTCCTGCTTCCAGTTTTTGAACTTCGGCATCTGTATGGAAAGAAATTGAGATGAACACGTAATTATATCTTTTGTTGACGTATTATTTTCAAAACTTAATTTTCTTGGTCATGGTGCAAAATGGTGCCACCAATTAAAAACATGTTTCTGAAAAGAGAAGGCAGCAGCGGCGAACCCAAAATTTGAAAATAGGGGGGGGGGCCAAAATGCATTTGAAATATGTTTTCATGAAAAATGTCTTTCGGCGCATGTGAACCTGAAAATGGTGTTAATGTCTGTTTACCTATTTCTGGTCATGTGGCTTCTTGACGAATCGAACCTCCAGTATTGGTTCTCTAGAGGGAGGCATGAGTCTGAAAAATGAAAAATGTCTTTCGGCGCATGTGAACCTTAAAATGGTGTTAATGTCTGTGTACCCATTTCTGGTCATGAGGCTTCTTGACGAAACGAACCTCCAGTATTGATTCTCTGGAGGGAGGCATGAGTCTGAAAAATGTCCAAAATGTCTTTCGGCGCATGTGAACCTGAAAATGGTGTTAATGTCTGTTTACCTATTTCTGGTCATGTGGCTTCTTGACGAATCGAACCTCCAGTATTGGTTCTCTAGAGGGAGGCATGAGTCTGAAAAATGAAAAATGTCTTTCGGCGCATGTGAACCTTAAAATGGTGTTAATGTCTGTGTACCCATTTCTGGTCATGAGGCTTCTTGACGAAACGAACCTCCAGTATTGGTTCTCTGGAGGGAGGCATGAGTCTGAAAAATGTCCAAAATGTCTTTCGGCGCATGTGAACCTTAAAATGGTGTTAATGTCTGTGTACCCATTTCTGGTCATGAGGCTTCTTGACGAATCGAACCTCCAGTATTGGTTCTCTGGAGGGAGGCATGAGTCTGAAAAATGAAAAATGTCTTTCGGCGCTTGTAAACCTGAAAATGGTGTTAATGTCGGTTTACCCATTTCTGGTCATGTGGCTTCTTGACGAATCGAACCTCCAGTATTGGTTTTCTGGAGGGAGGCATGAATCTGAAAAATGAAAAATGTTCATGGCTTGAGAGTGCATCGTCTCCCTATAGAAAGCTCCATCCGTTATATCTGTTATTTTATCCTGGTCTATGGCATCTAGGTTCAGATTCCTGTTAAGAACAGCTTCCCCGACTTCAGTAGACTGGAGTAAATGCTGCAGTTGTTGGGTCAGAGGAAGAACAAATAATATATTACATTTATATAGCGCTTAATACAAGTTTCTAAGCGATTAACAAAAATAAAACTAAAGTAATGTTAACCTACAAATTACAACAATATAATATATGATACATAATTATAATAACAAATTCCTAATAACAATCATACAATAATAATAGTTAATATTTACATAACGCTTTATAGTTTAACAAACAAAATATGATTACATAATACATATTGAACAGAAAAAGTCTTAAGTTTACTCTTGAATGTTTCTAATGTTGGGGACTCGCGTATTTCGTGTCATTGTAGACCTTTTTCATGCTCTCACTTCTTTCAAAATCTATACCACACTGGTTACATACATCTATACTATCGTCACATCCGATTTAATAACAGAGAATTATTTCAATCTGGACTTGGGTAATCCAGATTCAAATCAAATTACATGCCAAATCCTTATAATTTTTTTTTTTATAGGGCTTATAGCCTCCACTGCTTTGCTTTTCTCATGTTATAGCCAACTATCACCTCCATCACACTTTATATGACATTTTCGCTGTATATTTAACTTTCTCATTTTCACTCCTTCGCTTTCCTCATTAAAGTATTTATGAAATCACTAAAAGTAAATTCTCTCTTTCTCATGCAGTAGTAGAAAGACATCGCATTTATACAAACATTAACACAATACACTTAAATAATTAATTAATGATGCTTTTTGCAGTTGAAATGTAATCCATGTTTCTTTATTTGGCAATACAAATAAATGAACTGATAACAAATAAATAATTATTTACACAAAATAGGTTGTCAATCACTTTTATAAATAACACAACTTGCAAAATATACAAATGTATATCATGCTGTTTGTTCTGACGTATAACTTTATACATGACATGGACCCTTTAAAAACGTATAAGTTTATACATCGTACAGACCATCCAAAAACGTATAAATTTATACATCGTACAGACCATCCAAAACGTATAAATTTATACATTGTACTGACCATCCAAAACGTATAAGTTTATACATCGTACAGACCATCCAAAACGTATAAATTTATACATCGTACAGACCATCCAAAACGTATAAGTTTATACATCGTACTGACCATCCAAAACGTATAAATTTATACATCGTACAGACCATCCAAAACGTATAAATTTATACATCGTACAGACCATCCAAAACGTATAAATTTATACATTGTACAGACCATCCAAAACGTATAAATTTATACATCGTACTGACCATCCAAAACGTATAAATTTATACATCGTACAGACCATCCAAAACGTATAAATTTATACATCGTACAGACCATCCAAAACGTATAAGTTTATACATGGATTTGGAGGGTGCGTGCCATGTATAAACTTATACATATAAACATACGTATAAACTTACACAGTGATCCTACAAATTGACCCTCTTAAAGTGATGTGAAACTTTAATATAATAACAAGGAGTAATTACAGCTGGAGTAAAAGCTTAACAATTTCCTCTGAAGTAGGCTCAATGCCACAACAACCACGACAAATATATATGCGCTCTCCGAATACATGCACATTGATTCAAAAGAACTAACGATGAAACACCCGCGGCCAGTATTGCTACAGAGGATGCACATATGCAATTAAAGGTATTCAATATAATGATAATTGGTTACACAGAAAGTGCTCATGAATGGTATAACCAGGTGTAAGCAAACAGATACACGTCCAAAAATACAAGATTTAAAGTTGCTAATTCCATGAGTGGACACATGTGGACTTTACTCTGGTTGATTTAATTTAATAGAAATATTTTCTTGATAGTACCATATAAAATATGAAAATCAGAAAAGCAATCAGCAAGGGATCAATATTGTACTTGAAGCAGTACATATTTATTACACTCTTAAGGCAATATCTCAAGAAATCTTGCTTGTTGAGGAATGGGATTTTCAGAGTGGCATCGTACATAATTACTAAACAATTGCCTATTTGTTTTCTATGTTTATTGATATAATAAATCAACTGTGCAAACAAAAACCCACAAAGTTCACATCCTCTCTAAAATGTTTTCTTTTACTTTGGTGGCATCGCGCATCAAATATCAAAGAACCAAGGCAGTTTAATAATTCTATTGACTATCCTTTGGAATCTGCCAGATGTTTGCATAAATTATCCTCAGTTTGGACTCCAGCTCTGATAATTCCTTGATTATAACTTTGAAGTATATGATCTTCCAACTACATCATTGATATCAACAACCGTCTTCTGATGCTTGGAAATGAGTTAGATCGAGTGTTTCATTTTGACAAGATGGTAACAAAATCAAGGGCCCAATAGTTGTGACCCGAGTTTTTATCCTTGATAAAATAATAATATGTGGGTTTTTGTGTTGATGCTTTAGAAAAATAAATAAGGTGACGAGTCACGTTCACCAACCCTGTGCCTTTGAAATTACCTTCAAAGTAATCAAGTTCACTTGGCAAGACAAAAATATGCTCTAATAAAAGATAATAATAATAATATTGCACTCTAGTATAGCGCTCATCTATATAGCAAGGTGCTCCTGCATGTATGTTACCTGACCTTAACTAGGCTACATATTTTGGTACAACATAGTTTGAGTGTAGTAAATGTATGTTAAGGTCTTGCCAAAGCTAGACCTTAGTGAAGTGGCCGAGATTTGAACCACATACATGTACCTAATGATCGGTAGTCCAGCCACCTATCTACTAAACTAAAAACACATCTACACATAGACTTAAATACTTGTATTAGATAGCTCAGAGAGTTGCTAAGGTGTGATTGGTCCACAGCATGTCAAGTGATATGGGGACTGCAATTTATTGTTAACAGTTCACGCCCGGTCATCTGGATGGTTATATTGACCAGCTGGTCAACGATAACAGTAGGAGCATACGCGCTTGAGCTAAGACAATGTATTCATGTATCAACAATATTCGTCATAACAGCTCAGCACAGAGAAGAAAGGCGAAGACAATGGATATCTACTGTAGATCAGACTCTATTAAACTGTTCGTGTTCAGACTTTCATGTAAAAACCATGACTTGGTCTTAATCAAGGTTATCTAATATTATAATAGATATTTCCTGTTATGTATGTAATACATATTCTTTAGCCTACCTAAAGGAGTTTTATTTTCCCTCATGAAAATACAACTCCAGCGGCCAAAAGAATGATATATAAACACCCTACCAGCCATATCTGTATAAAAATATTTACATAAAAACGTTAGTTTGTCACATATCTTAACAATATTTTTCAGAACTAAATGAGGTAGTGATCGAGGTGAGGAAATGAGAGAAACAAAATGCACTAAGGTATAGAACACGTCTGGTCCATGCTTAATACTAGATCTGCATCTAGAATCTCCTCCGAGTCTGCAGCACCCATCATGGCCTCTATTTCTGTGCTGGACAGTGTTGTCTCCTCTACCATCCTCCCATTTCGTCCACATTCTGCTGCAACCCTTGCCAGCAGTCCTGAAAATATAATAGAGAAAAGAATATTTAATTTTGTTTGTCTGGTGAAGCTTGTGAAGAACCAAGTTATTAGACGCAACACTAGGTAAAGTGCTTTAACCACAGCAAACGAGCACCTAATTCCATACCAAATGCATTACATATTGTTCATTTTTGTATTTTACTTTGGTAAGTTCAATATGGAATGCTTTAGTAAAGTTCAGTCTGTCTTTGATTTTCAAAGCTGGTTTTCGAGTTAAATTTGCTCAACATCTCTTTATCAATACATTTCTACTTAAATGATAAACCCCCTTTTTTAAATTTTTGGTTGTCTTACTAAAATAATACTTTTACATTATCAATAAAAAAGAAAAAAGAAAAAAAGCATAAACCCTTACTGAATGGGGCTATTTTGAAATTTGTAAGACTGGAGGGGGGGGGGGCCTCAGAGCCTACCCCTTAAGTAACCAAATTTGGCACTGACGTTTCAATTTTCTTGTTAGAATTTTTAAAATCTGATTTTATTTCTCGAAAATGGTATACACATATGAGTTATAGTTTAAATAGACCAATCTGAATGTCTCAAATTTTAATATCTATGGAAAGTATTTTTAAATAGTGAATATGTGAGCCATTGTTTAAAAACAATATATCTAACGATCGGTTCTAATAACCACCGTTTTAATTTCTCTCCTGGTGAGAATATATATAAAAAATCTCTGTTTGTAACCTATCTAAAATGTTTCATTCCAAATTGTTTTTGGTTTCAGAGTTTTTGAGAAGATATAAAGCTCTCTATATCTCTCTTGACTTGGATTTTTTTTAAATTATATGCTCACAATGTCATCTTAAGTCTTTAAGCTTTTACACAGTTCATTTCTTCTCAAACAGTTTTTATATGCCTTTTTTTTGCATATTTTTCAATTCTTATGTATTTCAATGTTTTATGAACATTTTTTTTTTTTGCATTCTACTGGAAAACTGGAAGAAAAAAAAAAAAAAAAAAAAAAAAATCGGCTCGACCTTTTATCATGAAAGGTCTGATTTTCAACACCTCAGTGTCATAAGATTTATAACACTTGAAAAAAAAATCATGAAGCGCTAGCTATTGCTGAAAATGCAATGGGTTTGACAACAAAATTTGTCTGGGGGGGGGGGGCGCCATCTGAGACCTTTCCGGTAAAGTTAGGGTTAACACAAATTTCCGACAAGGCACAGGGTTGCTTATTGATATTGACCATGATTTTGCACGACCCCAAGTCTCGTGACTAAAATCTTTGTTGTGCAACACTGGGCAACTTTGATGCTATTAATGTCAGTTATTATGCGTCTAGAATTTATGGATAGTGAAAAATAGGTAAATATACTTGAATTGAAAAAAGCCAATTTGAATTTACACAATTTGGACGTTATTTCACAACTTTCCTTTCCTTACATTTTATTTTATTTTTGTATTCATGTTGCTTTATTGGTATCTCTATATATTTAATCTACCCATTTATTCTAAAACTGTATCATAATTTAATTGGATCTGTATATAGATAAAATGTCTTACCGTCTCCAACGTCAAGAACCACTTCATCAATAGAAGTGAAATGCTCCACTGCATATTTGTAGAAGTCTGATCTTGATGGCATGTAGAGTTGGCTAGTGCCAGCACCCCTCCTCCTAGACTCGACAATACCATACTGCATACAGACATTATGGTTGACATCTGTTGATAAAATATATATGCACATTTTATATGGCTACTTAGAACAGTATGAATAAGCCTTAATTTCCTATAGAAGTAAAACGAATATACATACATGTGATTTTTCACATGAGGCACAATTTCTTTTCAAACAGATACAATGTGATTTTTTGAGTTCTGAATGCACCTTTTTCTTTAGGAATAAAAACCCAGACATTAGAAATGCATTTTTTTCACAATTACTCCGCAGTTGTCTAATTAATATAATTAGCTTGCTTTGGAGGTAATGTGTTTGAGATCACATGGCAAGCATCTTATCTTCATTTGTTCAGCATTAGTCAGCTATTATATGTTTTTTTTCCCCCAAAAGCATTCAGTAATCATTATTTTTGGAAGTTTTGAACATTCATTGTAAATGTCATTGGATTCTGTCAGAAGTTAATTTCTGTCATTACCAGAACTCAAGATTATATTTAAAATCCAAGTGATATAAACAAAAATTTATATGAATGTTGAGCTTCATAGGAGGATTTCTTAAGAAAGAATTTTCATTCAGATCGAGCAGCCAATCTAACACACTGGAAGTTATACGGTAACATTCTTTCTTAATAATTTATATTTTTTTAACACACACTGCAGCTATCTCATTATTACACAACCACAAAAACGTTTGTTATGTTGCTTTGAATACCGAAATAACAGTCAGCTTCATAAGATATTTAATAAAAGACATGGAACATGCATATAGTTACCTTGAATATCTCCTACTGGGGACTGGACAATATGCAATATATGCACATCGTGTCGGGTATGTTGGCTGACCACTTTGGATATCGCTGTGATGTCCTTTGTCAGGAAGATTCTGGTAGTAGCCGATGGTGTTGAGGATAACTGGATATCCTGTAATATCAGAAATTCAAATAAAAAGGAAAGAACATACAAATTAACTATAATTCTAATATGTTGAGCCCAGATAATATACACAATGCAAAGTTCTGGAAACTGTTTTTTTTTATTTATACCCTTTTCATAATTATCTGCAGCTTAACATTTGCTATGTTGAATCAAAATAGAAAAATCAAATTTGAAAATAGGATGAAATAGCATGTGGGTGCAGTTTTCCATGCCAGTCGTCTGGGCGAAAGTGCCATTGTACGTAATATATGACTTGTGGGAAAATTGCAATTTCTATGCCATGAATATAATTGTTTGTTTTTTGTTATCAGTGACAAATTACCAATGATTTTTCATCAGCATAAGATCATTCTCCATGTAAATCCCTTAACCTTGAGTTCCTTATAGATTACAATATTACAACTTTGAGATATTTTAAACTCACAATTTTGAGATTTGTTTTATGTGAAATCCAGTTTACCTCTTTCAATTACCAAGTGCCTACAAATAAGTGCTTTGGAACCTTAAGAATATGGGACAATACCTCTTCTAGTTCTTGTATCATAAGGGCTGGGATGTCGTCTGCATTCATGTCCATGTCTCTCTTGGCCCTGCTGATGTGCTCCAGGAAGACCTCTGGGATGTTACCTTTTGTATACTTTTTACCTGAAAAAAAATACATATACATTGATCATAGAGCTCCGGAGTCAATTTGACCCCCCCCCCCCCCCTCCCCCACAATATCTTGGCCACAGAAGGTCTGATTGATGGGAAATTTTGCATGGACAGCAATGCACATGCAAAGAAATGTTGCTTTGATGTTTGTTTTTTACAAAAATCACTCATTTATTACTTTATTATAATTCATGCAAATTAAATTCCTATTTTAACACATTCAATAATATATCATTAAACAAGGCAAACGCCAAGCGTTGTCTTGCCTGCATCTTAGGCCCTATAAGCAGATCAGGAGGTGAATTTTGGGTTCTGGTAGTTTACTCTTTAGCAATAATGGAATCCCAAGGAAAGTCTGTTTTCCTTTTGACCTGTTGCCTTTGACCCACATTTGAACTTGACATGTTTTATAGAACAATTTAGAAAAGGCAGTATTTTGTACACAAACGTACTATGCAAAATGTCAATTGTGGCTAGACGTGTGGTTAAGTAATGTTGCATAACCTCTAGCATGGACTGTCCCAATTTTGGGGCAAATTTGGTCTCAAAAGTTGCGAGACAATAAAGTCATTGAAAGGCAGGTTGTGATTTGTAGCGGTTACGTGGCAGTCCTGGATTGTGTACGGTGGAGGCAGGGGCCAAATTGACCCCCCCCCCCCCCCCCCAGTCAGAATAGTCAACCCTACTAGTTCATCTAAACTTTAAAATTTGGATTGATGGAGATACAGGATAGCAATTATTGTATATCTTGCTGGGGCTCAATATTCTCTTCAATAGACATTATACGAAGCCATGATTTGTGCATACCAACATAGGGTTCCAGGGCTGCTTCTGAAGTGAAGGTTGGGTATCTTTCTATCGCCTCTTCCCACGTCTTAGCCCCAACTCCCTTAGCAAACACGCTCTTCAGACTCTTCATTGCCTTCAGTTCATCGGCATCCGCCTTCATCTTTTTAACATTCAAAGACAAGGTCGCCTCCAGAAGAAGTGAATATCGCTCCTCTTCTGAGAGTCCTTGTAGCTTCATGAAACACTATAAAATAACACAAATGAAAATAATAAGAGTAGTTATTAGTGCACGTGAAGTATTGTTGCTCACTGTCAGAAGACAAATTTTATTTGCATATATATGAACTATCAACTTTTTCAATCAAAGTCAATTCTTCTGCAAAGAATCCCCAATTCATCTATTGTTTGATTTGAATATGTAAAAAACTATTGCTTTAACCCTATTCTCACTTTGAGTGCAAGCTTAATGCGAAATATTGCAAGGACGTCAATACAGATTTGTTTTTATCACAAATTTGTTACTTTATTATAATTTATGCAAATTAGATACCTATTTTAACATATTCATTAATATTTCATTAAGTTATGAAGCTCAATCTTTTTTTTAAAGTTGCTGAATAGCATAGGCAACAATACTGAAATAATAAATAATGAAATTTCCGATCAATTCTTTTGTATTCTATTGTTTCATAAACTACTTATGTATCTATTGTTTTCATTTATATATGTGATTTTTTTCATGTTTCAAAAGTGTATCTTGAAAAGTTTCAAGACAAGTATGGTCAGGCAAAAAGACTAGAAGGCACAATTAACAGTGTTGTAAAGCAATTTAGGAAAAGCAGTATTTTGTACACGAACGTACCTATGCAAAAAGTTGATTTTATTGTTAATTTTTAGAACTCGGTCTCAAAAGTTGCGAGACAAACAAAAAAAGTCAGAAAAAGTCACCGGAAGCCGTGTCGCTATTTGCAGCCATTGCGCATCAGTCACAGATTTTGAACAGGAAATTGAACCCCCCCCCCCCCCCCCCCCCCCCCCCCAGAATAGGGTATCCGCCAATGGTGGCGCTATATTACTTTATTTACTTTGGTTGTGATGATTTGATAAACTCCTTATAGCGGCTGAATAAACCACAATTCTCATTTGCACAGAAAACATGTGGTATGTGTGACATCCAGTCCAGCTCAATTTTTGTATTTTTCATATAGCTCATTACTCAGCAATAATATACATTTTCTACCAAAAAGTTTTGAACATTCGCAAGTCAAGTTTTGTTCGATTCTATGAAGAAAAAAAATGCTTTCCTTCATTACTCAAGATGATATTTAAATGTGTAAAAAAAAAAAAAAATTTAAAGCTTACTTACACATTGTTTCAAATCCTTTCCAGTAGATTCTCTAGTTGCATCGAAAAGGAGAGTGGCTTTCCTGTAGCATCTGTTTGAATAACTAGCCAACTGGAAATGAAAAGAAGCTTGATTCATTATTTTTGTAAACCTTTCTTTCCACCTGATATTAACAATTACACATTTTTTTTGCAAGTTATCTTTAGCTTTTTGATAAACATAAGGCATCAATTATATTGGAAAAATAAAGAAAATATGTGAAATTGGCAGTCCATAATATGCTTTTTTTTTGTCCAGATTGGAATAAATTACTGTTCTTTGCATTGGCAATAAAAATGGAACTAAAACAGTACTTTATAATCCGTCAACGCATTTCCAAATAGATACTTGGACGATGGTAAGGTGTTTGGACGATGAAGATTGATTAGTTCTATCAGATCTTGAAGCGCAACTCCAGACAAATGGTGCTTCACCACAAAAACTCCAGACAGGTAGCAGTGGATGAGATCGAGGGCAAAGTGCAAGTAGATTAATAAACTAGTCATCAAGTTATGGTGTTGAGTACACTTCAGAGCTTGTCCTTCAACTTTAGCATTGTCATCCAATAGATCACGTTCTGAGGTCTCGGTTGTCTCCTCGGGGCTGCACCTCAGCCCCTTCCTGGTGATGGATGTGCACTTTGTTGCTCGATGCATGTATAAGTTGACTTACCTGTAAGTCAACAACAATATCTGAATATCAGCTTGTCATTTATGGAATGACTATCTATTACCAATATAGGCCCGTAAAACCAAAGTGTTTTGGGAGGCGCAAGCGACCCCAACCTAATTATACAGGTATATAACACGTTCAAGGGGGGGGTGTCGTTATTACTTGCATCGCATCAGGTCCATGATCGCAATGAAGCAATCCTCCATTCTGTTTGAAACAGACTAGAATTTTGCGAGTAGTTGGCAAATGGTCAATCAATATAAATCTGAAATAGTTGTGATAATTAATAAACATTTTATGAATCTTTGAAAGCCCTTATCACAATATCTGCTTTATCTGTGTGAAATCTATACAAAAATGATTAGGCTTTTTTTCTTCTTTGTCAATACCTGAATCAACACATTTGACAGATTCAACATGATCAAAACATACACCTTTATCATACATGTAATAGATGAATGCCCCTCATATTTTATTCATGTATAATTCATCCAGGGTTATCCCATGAATACAGTTTCCACTTCAGATGTGTATCACTAAATATTAATATATCTGTTTCAAGCAGATGTGCCATCACAGCAATCTCTACCACTGTGGCCCATTCACCATTGATGTGTGGTTTATTTTTTCTGAGATAGTCCTTAACTGACGAAAATTCAGACTTATAACAACCAGCAAATATATGTGAGTTTTGCAACAAATGTTTGATACATGTCTGCCTCAAAATGTTGTGATTAACTTTCTTCCCCGTCAGACAAAGAGAGCTTTACCTGTAAAAACAATTTCCATCACCAGTAATATTTGTAATACTAGCTGGAGTACCAACATTAATGCGGAAGTGGAAGAGCTGCGTTACTTACTGATTACTTTATAGAAAGTCAGCGACTTAATTGCAGTCTTTGGATTCTCCTCAGTCAACCCCCCCTTTTCGCTTTTGCCCGCACTTTGAGAGTTTCCCCAGAACTCCAGCCTCCGCCACAGCTTCCAGCATTTTTCTGCATCGCTGGGCGCACTTCTTTCTCCCCAGCAGCCTTGACGATCAAGTATTGTTTCTATTGAACAAAGAAAGTGATAACTCTCTAACATCTAAGTTACAAATCAACAGTTAAAGTACAGACAGACTGAATACCCTGACAGACTCTGCACCAAAACACTTTTTAATTTGCTAAATCAAATATAATTAGATTACTTACCCTGCTGCTTTTTAGAGGTCACCTCCTCGTCCATCTCCTGCCTGTAAAGCTGCAGAAGATTTCTGCAGCTTGCAGCTTTCTCTGCCTCCAGGATCAGGGCTGAACGCTCCTTCACCCCCTTCACCAGGGCCTCATGGACATTCGCGCCCCCATAGTTCGTGAGCTGTTGATCCACGAGACTGAGTAGACCAGCCCTTGTGAACCTGTATTTCCTCCAGATCAACGGGTCTACTCTGTCTCGGAAGACTCTTTCCCTCCTACCAAATGATATATTGCAATGTATTATCTTCCACCTGGGCGAGAAAGAAAAAGATAAAATAAATCGCCCAAAATTTCTTTCGGCGCATGTGAACCTGAAAATGGTGTTAATGTCTGATTACCCATTTCTGGTCATGTGGCTTCTTGACGAAACGAACCTCCAGTATTGGTTTTTTCCGGGCGCATGTAAACCTGAAAATGGTGTTAATGTCTGATTACCCATTTCTGGTCATGTGGCTTCTTGACGAAACGAACCTCCAGTATTGGTTTTCTGGAAGGATCGAGGCATGAGTCTGAAAAATGGAAAATGTTCATGGCGTGAGAGTGCATCATCTCCCTATAGAAAGCTCCATCCGTTATATCTGTTAAAATGTCATCCTGGTCTAGATTCAGATTCCTGTTAAGAACAGCTTCCCCGACTTCAGTAGACTGGAGTAAATGCTGCAGTTGTTGGTTCAGAGGAAGAACAATAATATATTACATTTATATTAGGGTCTCCAAAAACAATTGCTAGATTTTTAATTGTGGACTAAGAAACATCAAAATATAGCTTACCTGGAAGAGAAAGATGATATAAGCCAAATGGAAGTGGTTAGATTCCAAAATATGATCCCAATTTCGGTAAATTGATGCTCAAATTTGATCTATTCCGTCCCAGTTCTGCATTCAAATTAACCGCCTCAGCTATGACTATTTGTGCATCGCGTTCGAATTTGGAAAGGGGGCGTGTTCACGATCTGAGCCTGTAATCCGAGCACGGGCGCGCCGGGCGAGTCTGCAAAAATAAAAGGTCACGTCGAGTTCGAGCGGTTGCATAGTCTTGATCCCGTCGTCCAAGTCAACACAATTTGTTATTTTCTTCTAGCAAGTAAGAAATCGAATCAAAGCTTTGATGGGATGTTTTTGGAATGGTAGTCTACTGTTGATATGAATGTACTGATAATCTCCGGTAGATATGAATGTACATCCGCATTTTTGATCTACTTTGTGCCTTAATTTCCCGATATTTGGATAATATTTTGCAACAACAACAACAAAAAAAAGTATTGTAATGACAATGAAAAAAAAGGAACTTACTTAATAATATATGAAGTCAGGTGTGTTCTCGACCGTCACGCGGGTCCAAATCCACCACTCCGCGTTTATCGCCTCCTCAATACAATTAAAAATAAGGAAATAAACTGGGTCATCATAAATAAAGGTAAAAGTAAAATCATGATAAAAACTATATGCTATTAGGTGGTAAAATGATGATTGGGAAGATGTTAAGGCCACAGCGTAATGCATTTTTGCCGAGAATTTGTGTGTGAGTGTAGGCCTATTCTCGAGTCAATTAGTATAAAAGTTATTATTAAAGGCTAAAGACAAATGTGTGCCCTGGCGTTATTTTATGAGGACGTTGCTCCTATGCAACCCATGATTGGTTGTATGATTGAATGATCACATTGGCGAATTAATGCCAAGCTCGCAGAAATTAAAGAATAATTACATGAATTAATGAACGATTACAAAATCATATGATCCCTCGTTATTAATGATTAGGTCGGCGAATTAATGCCAATTAATTATACAAATTATGTTTCCGGCGAGTTAGTACTCATTAGGAAGTGCATTGATCTGGACGTTGATTGCAGCCATTCCATACATTCCATTGTGATGACGGTCTGTGTTGCCATATCCTTCACTTTGGATTTCTAGAAAGTGATTAAAAAAGAGAGAGAGAGAGAACACTGCTGTTTATGAAATGTAAAAGCAGAAAAAAAATGCATATTCGCTTTCATCGTAAACTTTGAATTAACAAACACGACAATAGGGCTAAATAGACACACACACACACACACAAATTTATTAAACTTTTTATTCACTCACTACTTCTTCTTCCAATTCCTCCTCCTCCTCCTCCTCCTCGTTCTCCTTCTCCATCCCCTCCTCCTCCTCCTCCTCAACCTCCGGGGACAACCGCTGACCATGTTCCCACGAAAGATTCTCGTAGTCGAAGTCTATCTTGGTCTCGTCGGAGTCTATCTTGGTCTCATCCGAATCGCTCTGAGGAGGAAAAATATATTGATAATGAGACATCAAGTGTATGAGCAAAATAAATAAAACAATTACTATTTCAATGATAAGAATACTTACTTCGTGTCCCTCAGGAATAGCCACGTGTCTCTCCGGCTCCGGCTCAGTGTCATCCAAAATAATCTAAGGAAAAAAAAAAAACATATTCTCTTTATGACAACAAACAAAAATCATCCATTAGTATAGCAATAGAAGTAACTACAAACTAAATTATTTGATAGGACTGAAATAAATGATAATTACCACAGATCCATCCTCATCCTCAGGTCCAAATAGGTCCATTGATGGATCCCACAGTTTCTCAGCCTGTAAACCAATCGGTATGAAAATAAGCAGAAAAGGAAATCAAATGTATCGCAGTAAAGAAGAACAAATATCTTATGAATAATTACAATAAAGAAAGTATTCGAGTCAGGATTCTTCTGTAAAGTAAAGGGATCCGGTAACTCAGATTCTGAGACAAAATTCTGGATTTAGCTCATGATGCAATGATAATTATAAACCTTTAGGTCAGTCGGGAACCCCATGACTTTTACAAGCCGATCGCCTGTCTGATTATCAAGATATTTATGATTGGAATTACAAATTTTGAAAACCGTTCGCCTGACGGTTTTCATAACACTACAGTCTATTGGGGAAAATGGGTATGGTAAAACCGGTCACTCAAAGGTTTTTACTTTTTTGAGGCACTTCTTGATCATTTTGAATCGCAATTTTTTTAGGGCTTCAATATTACACCATATCACAGACACTGATAACACGTAGGGCCGTGTATCTCAGATTTAACATTGTTAAACGATCCCTTTAAAGAGAAGAAAGTATGGTTTTTAAAATACAATCATTACTAGGCCTGTATCATCATCACCATCTTCATCACCGCCTGCAATATGCAACGGACGT